ATCTATCTATCATCATCTATCTATCATCTATCTATCTATCTATCTATCTATCTATCTATCTATCTATCTATCTATCTAATCTATCTACCTACCTCTCATCTGTCTTTAGCATTTATTCATCTATTAATCACATATATATATCATCTATCATCTACCTATGATCTGCCCATCTGTCATCTATCTATCTACCTATTTATCATCTGTCTATCTACCTATTTATCATCTGTCTATCTATCATCATTATGTATTCATCAGTCCATATATCATCTATCTATCTGTCTATCTATCTATCTATCTATCTATCTATCTATATCATCTATCAATGTTTCTATCATTTATCAATCTATCATCCATCAGCCAATCTATTTTCTATCATATATCAATCATCTATCTATCTATCATCTATCATCTATCTATCTATCTATCTATCTATCTATCTGTCATTTATCATCCATCATCTATCTATCTATCTATTTATCATCCATCATCTATCTATCATCTATCTATTTATCATCTATCTATCTATCCATCTATCTATCATCTATCTATCACCTATCTATCTATCAATCATCTATCTATCTATCATCTATCATCTATCTATCTATCTATCTATCTATCTATCTATCTATCTATCTATCTATCTATCTATCTATCTATCTATCTATCTATCTATCTATCTATCTATCTATCTATCTATCTATCTATCTATCTATCTATCTATCTATCTATCTATCTATCTATCTATCTATCTATCTATCTATCTATCTATCTATCTATCTATCATCATCTATCATCTATCTATCTATCATCTATCTATCTTTATCTACTTGTCTGTCTAGCTCCCCCTGCACTCTGGGTTCATCATATTCCCTCAGCTCCAACCATAGCTTTACCCACTTCTCCAGGGAAGCTAGTATTTAGAACCCAAAATCTAGACACTGGGTGTGCTTGTTGCCCCGCAGTGTCCCAGCTTCTGGGCCCTCTCAAGGACAGTACTAGGAGTTCTAAGTATTTATATGAACCTTCATAGACATATTTCTCTCTTTAGTCCTGTGTGAAACTCTCTGCATATGGATGACAGTGAGCAGGTTGCCGTGCCTGCCTCTGAGTGCAGTTGCCCTAGGTCTGCGTACATCCTTCTTATTATTGGTAAGTTATCACTGACCTAAGGGGCCTACCTCCCACTTTCTACACTTATTTATTTCCTCAACTCCAGAGCCTCGGTCTGCCTGATTACCAGCTGATTCCTGTGAGCGGGAACTTTCTAGCCAACTGTGTTCCCTGGCTGTGCTTCCATCTGGAGCCTCGCTGCAGGGTCAGTCACTATTTTCTAGTGACATAGGTCAGTTCTTCCCACCTGCTCTGTTAGGAGATCGAGTCACATATTTGTAATCTTGTTGGATCTGCTTGTCACGCGTGATACTCCGTCCTGGAGCTCCAACACCCTGGCTGGCAGGCACGGTGAAGGTGGTAGACACATTTCAGTTTGCACCACCGCTGAGTGTCTGGAGCACATCACCAACCTGCCACGACCTGGGTAAACCCTCTTCTCCCCACCAGGCCCCAGCAACTGGCGATCTGCTTCTTGTTCTTAGCTTTGTCTTTCCTGCACACATGGAGTCACCTGTACAGCCTTGGGATCTGACCTCCCCAGTAGCAGCCCTTCAGGTCACTCTGCTTTGCCGCTCAGCCCCATGGACAGCTCCTCCACGTGCCACATCGATCAGCAGGGTCTTTTCCTGTTTTTATTTCTCACTTTAGTCACTGTATCGGGTATGGTGTTGGTTTCCATTTCCGTAATGGTTGAGGCTGTCTGGTGTCTTTTCTCCTGCTGCTTTGCTGTCTGTCTTCTTTGGTGAAGTGCCGTATCTGTGACGTCTCTTGGTCCTGTGTCCAAATCCCTGACAGAAGTAACCTAAAGCTTACTTTATTTTAGCTCACAGTTTCAGAGGGTTCAGCTTGTCATGGTGGGAAGGCATGGTGACAGAAGCAGCTCCATCCGTGATGGCCCAAGTGTGAGGCAGTGGGTCAGGTCCCATCGTGGCAGCAGACAGAGAGCAGAAGTGGAGGGCGTGACTGGAGAGATGTCTCAGCGGCTAAGAGCACTGGCTGCTATTGCAGAGGATCCAGGTTTGAGTCCCGGCACCCACATGGCAGCTAACAACCGTCCGTAACTCCAGTTCCAGGGGAATCCAACGTCTTCTTCTGACCTCCGTGGGCATTGTGCAACACGGGTGCACTTACACACATGCAGACAATACACTCATACACATAAAATAAAAAATAATAAAAACGAAAGAAACCAGAAGGGGGTGGGAAGCAGGGCCAGGCTACAGCCCTCAAAGCGTGCCTCCAGTGACCCACCGCACCAGCCAAACCCTACAACCGTGCAGATCAGCCCCACCAGAGGGACACCAGATGTCCAAACACAGAGCCTGCTGGGGACATTTCAAATTCAAACCACAGAAATGCCTGGTGAATCTAGGCGTCACTGTGTTCTCCTACCTCGTTCAGCCCTCCTTCCTGCTGTGGTACTGGTGGAGAAACTGAGTCCTGGAGAGTGGGTGACTCCAAGGGCTGGAAAGTGATGCACCTTCTTCCTTCACCCCAACAGCCTTTCCCGGAGTTTTCTTCTGCAGTTATTTATTTATTCCTGACATTTCCTCAGCGTGTGCAGTTTGGGGCTATTAATATATAATTAGACACGGCTTTGAATTTCTTCCTTTATCTCTAGGGCACATGTTTATTTTAAACCCAAAATGGCTAACAGAAAGACAAAGTTTGAACTGTAGAGATATTCTGAGTGCTTAGCCACGGGGCTGAGGAGTCCATTAGGTATAAAATAGGGCAATGCGAATTGTAACGTGTACTGTGGTATGTGAGCGATCACAGGACTGCACTCAGGCCAGGGGCTGTAGGCCTTGGTTTCTTCGTGGGTTTTTTTTAACTTTTACAAAAACTTTATTGAGAATTTCATACATACATATAAGATGTTTTGATCAAATCTATGCCCACTCCCTCCCCTCCAACAATCCCCCCTCTGAAGAGGTAACCCTAAAATCTTTTAAGGATTAGATACAAGCTCCCAAAGACTTTTGACGTTTTGACATTTTTGGCCTTTGGAACAGAGTATGTTGCTAACAGGCCCAAGGACATTTTGACTTTTAGCCCAGAAACTGGTTACATTTCTTTGGGGTCTTTTTACCCTAACTGCCTAGCCAATTCCTACCTCCTGTTCTTATCACACCACCCTCTGTAGAGGTTACCCAGATTGCCAATAGGGAATTGGGACGCAGGCCACTCTGGCTTCTTCCATGCTGAACAGGGACACAGGGTGAGGCAATTGGGGTACCCCTTCAGTGGGTCTATCTAAAGGACTCCCAAATTGCATAACTCATCTCTAAGGGGAAAAGAACGTCCTTGAATTGTGAATGGAGATGTAAAGGAGAAGTAAAAGTGAGATCCCGCAGAACCCTTCAGTGACGGTGACCCCAGTGTCACCACGTCCTGTTCTGCTCTGGTGTCCCCTTCCTAACATGACCTTCGCAGGCGCCATGCATGTGGCTTTAACTTGGATGGGACAGTGCTTGGGACCTGCATAGGCTTGGCAAGGGGTCTTGTACAGACAGGTCTACATCATCTTCACACATCGTGGGCATTGAATTTCATGAGCTGGTGCCCATCACGGGCCAAATTCAACACTGACCAAGGGGTGGCCTAGGAAGCATAAAAAGGGGAAAGAAAGGTGAGTACCAGCATTCCTCTCTCTCCACATCCTGATGAAGGAACACGACCAGCTGCCTCAGGTTCCTGATGTTGTGCCTTCCCCAAAACAGTAAGCTGTACCTTGGAGCTGTGAGCCAAAACTTCCCTAACTTGCTTTTAGTCGGGATCTTTGAACACAGCAATGAGAAAAGTAACAAATATTATGTTCACAGTATTTTCGATTTCAAACAAGCAGTGGCGTGACGCGTTCTATTTTTCCATCTACATTTCTTTGATGGTGAGGATGACTTGGTTCTTGTTTGGCGGCAGCTCTATCGGGTTCTGGACTGTGGAAATCAAAGCAGCCCTATTAGAATGCTTGAGCATGCTGCCGTCTCCTCCTGGTCCTTTATCTGCTCCTATTACATGCCAGTTCAATGTAAGATAGGGTCGGGGTGGGACAAACCCACTGTGAGGCAGATGCTGCAAGTGGCAAAAGCTCCTGACCGCCTCTGCCACGCCCCCTGCCCAGTGACAGGCGCCCCTCGGAGTCTCTGCCTCAGCTTCCCTCTGGGCCATGATGGATGCCTACAGCACGGAGACAACAGATGCTGACATGGGAAAAGAGGTGCCCACTGAATGCGATTCTAAGATTCTAAGTCATGCTGCCCTAAGTCAGGGACGTTGTGTGTGTTCTAGCCACCCAGGCTCCTGTAAACATTGGTATATCCTGCTATAATTTCGGGTGACTTTTGCAGGCATTTAACCCAAGGTAGAATCTCTGTAAAGTGGGTGCTAGGCTGCTCATGCCGATGGGACCTGTTTCCCAACACCCTGACTACCTGTAGCTCTCACTGATCCTGTCTGCTCAGGTCATGGGTGTTACAGGCCTGTCAATGATTGGACTTTCTGTCCTGCTTCATGGTTGAGGTTTAACCTTGCTCTGTGCGCTGCCATCCACATTTCTGCTCCTGAGAATGTTGTTACCCCTGGCTTCTTACCTCTGCTCTGAGGCTATTGTCCCTTCTGGTCAGCAGGAGCCCCTCTGCTGTCCTGCAGACCTTGGTGGGCTGTGGGTCCTGCTGTGTCTACTCCTGGCTCAAAGCTTGTGCCTTTCCTTTGAGGGGTTGTAGTGCAAAAGATTTTTTTTTTTAATTTTAACATAGTCAGAAGCCTTGTCTGGGAAGGCTGTGGACTTTCTAGAGCTTTCTAAAGCTTATGTAATTATCTTTTCTTATATCAAGTTTGTGAAGACATGGCCGGTTCAACATTTTCTTCTGCAAGTTTTGTATTTGCTTCTAGGATGAGGCTTGTGTTTCATGAAGGAAGGGTCTAATTGTATTTAATTATGGGGCGCAGTCTTCACAGTTCCATTTGGAAAGTGGCTAAACGCCCCTTGCTGCCGTAACTCTTTCTGGCACACAGCCACACTTCCTGTGTGAAACAGAACAGTTTCTGGGCCAGTCATACCCACTGGGGCCTTCTGAACACAAAAGGCGCATGAGCTGGCTACTGTCACCTCCTGTGTGTCAACCTCTTCCAGGCCACACCCATCTTCTAGACTTCCTGTTCCCTGCAGGATGATGTGGGGAATTGACATGCCAGGGTCTCAAGTCTCCCTTACGTGGACTAGCACCTGCAGGTCTCTGCTGGTGGTGCACCCGTGTCCTGTTCTCTCCAGTCTCCTCACCGCCTGCCCCTGGGGGTGCAGGGCCACCAACTACCACTGAAGGTGAGCACCAGTGTTGGGACAGTGGTCCTGACACCTGTGTCATTCACACAATGTCGTGGATGCAATGAGCTGACAGTCTCTGTCCCTGGCCTGCAGAGACCAGGGCTCAAATTCCTGAAATTTTGACCTGCCACATGGGAATATTCTCAGTGAAGGATCCGAAAGGGTGAAAGAGCCCCACTCCCCAGTGAAAGGCTGGCCTTTGTTTGCTTTTAGTGCAATACCACTTTTATTATTAAATTAATAGGTACTCATTGTGTAACGCTCAAGTTGAGGCAGAAGTGTGTGACCTGCTCTCTGGAGGCGGCTCTGTTTACAGCTCATTGTGTGCTGTTCTGCAGCTCTTTGAAAAGCACTTTACTGAGGTGCGATTGAACACAGAGGAAGTACAGACACGACCCGATGAGTTTGCAGGTAAGTGCACATCTGAGCACCCATCACCACCAGGACCCTCAAACACCCGTCGTCCCCAAGGCTTTCTCCTCTCTGTTTATTTTTGCTGTAATTTTATGATATGAACACTTAATAGGGTCTATTAGTAAGATTTTAAGCATGCAGTGCAGTTGGCTACATGCACCTGCTGTGCCCTTCATCTCTAGGACCTGCTAAATTGCAAATGAAAACTTTGCACATTTGGGCCAACATTGCTTTTCCCCCTCCCCTAGTTCCTGGCAGCCACCATCCCACTCTCTGCTTCTTAGAGTCTGACTTTCATAGATTCATCACAGAAATGAGACCAGCAGTATTTGCTTTCCTGGACCTAGCTTGTTGAGTTTTGCACACTGCCTTCCAGGTTCATGCGTGTTGCAGTGAGTGAGAGGATTCCACCCTGTTCATGGCTGCACAGCATTCCACGGTGCCTGTGGCCCACCTGTTGTTTACCCAGCCACCTGCTGACGGGCTCCCTGCCTGATCCCTGTCCTGCAGTTGTGAGTGGTGCTGCTGTGGACACAGGAGGCTGATTCCTAGTGGTGGATTTCATTTCTTCTGGATGTACACCCAGTGGCAGGGTTGTTGGGCACCTGTCGCTCTCCAAGGTGGCTGTACTCACTTATGGCTGTGCTGACAGTGTGCCCTGCCCTCTGTCTCCCTGTTCTTCCCACCATGAGATTCTGACAGTGTTCAGGGGACCTCCCTGAGGCTTAGCAAGGCATGCACCTTCACCCTGGGCCCCCCTTCTGCCTTCTTTGGGAAAGCATCCATTTCGATTGTTTGCTATAACAGATCAAGGTATTAGCTCTTGCTGGAGGAGACCCTCACACAATTTGGATTTATCTCTTTATCAGAAACATGGTCCACCTGCATTTTCTCTGGCACACGGGGGTTTTACTTGGTTGCCCGTTTCCTTGGCTACACAGTGTTTCTGTTGCTGTAGTGCTGTCTGGTTATTTCCGCTTCTGCCTGTGTTTTCAGGATCACATCTAAAAGGTCACAACCCAGAGCCAGGTTACAAAGCCCCTCATCATGAAGTGGAATTACAGTGGGGAGCATTCAGTGGGGCTGCTTAGAATTCAGTGTCTGTAATCAATGCTGACTTTATAGTTTTCCACCAACACATTGCACAGGCTGGAAGGGCTGAGAGGCAGAGACCTGGGGTAGAAGAGCAGCAGAGGAGGACAGGTAGGGAGGTGGGAGTGCCTGTGCCCACAGCTCACCTACAGGCTTCTGCCAGACGGGCCCCTCTATAACTGCTTCAGCGGAGACTCATTTTATAGCAATTAGCTTTTAGCACATCGTGCCTGTGATTAGCTTGTTTGGGGCCAAATGATACTCGGGCCAACTTCCATTCCCTGCAACTTCCTTATGTGTGTATGTGTGGGGGGGGGGTGTGAAAGTGCGTGTGTGTGTG